TCTGTCAGGCAGAGACCGCGTGATGCTAGGGCAGCTGGTCGTGCTGCGTTGTCTCGAGCTCCTATTTTGGAATTCGAGTCTACCAGTAACTTCCGCTCTGTCCTGCGTCAACTCCTACCTTACAGCAGGTTCCAGGGTCTCTTGATCCTGCTCCTGCTGTCTCTCGGGGACTATCGCTTGCCCCGATAGTTCCTTCGGGTAGGTCACGTTCTTTCTCTCCTCCTCGGAGGGTGACGTTGATGGAGGTGGATTCGGCGGGTGCCTCTCCTAGTGATGAGAGGGACGTTCTTTGGGGCTCTCCCGGTTGCTCCAATTTTACGGAGCCTCTGGATGAGTATAGAGTCGGCTAGTTTCTGACTCTGATTTGGAGTCGTTGGATTCGTCTGGGTTGGACTCGGAAGGCCCTTCCGATGTTTCCCAATCACGGCCCCGAGATGCTGATCCGGTGCCTCCAGAGGTTTCGGCTTCGTTTCGCACTTTACCTGCAGAAGTTATGAAGCTTCTGGTGGATGGGGTTTGCCCACGCCCTTCCTCGGATTCAGCCGTCCCGGAGCGCACCTCGCTCCTTCAGAGCATGTTGCCTCCCCTAGCATCTGCCTCCTCGGCCTCTGATAGGTCTCTTGCGGAGGGACGAGGCGTTGCTTCGTCCCTCGCTCAGGTCAACGCTTTATTGAAGCAGAAGGTGAGCAAGGCTCGCAAGCCTTTTCCCCTCTCGGCTTTACAGGTCGTGGTTGCTGATATTGCAGATTTAGCTGCAGATACGAACCGCATCCACGACCTAGTCTTTGCTCCTAATTCCATTTTCCTTTGAAAGGGATCTGGATAAGTGGCCGGGACGCTGTGTTGACCAGGTTGTGATGGGGCCTAGGGAGCACTCTTAGTTGGAGCGTCTCCTTAGGCTGGCTCTCCATGTTCTGTCCTACGCAGACTGGTTTACTTTTGCGTTGCTGGCTTCGAGCTGCAAGTCGGTGGAGCAGCTCCCCAGCAAGGCTGGACTGATGGAGCGCCTCAGCCAGGCAATTTGCAAGGCACATCTTGATGCGATGGCCTTATTGTCGGCTGCCATGTCACACCTTGTTGTTGCCCGCCGGTTGTCGGTCCTTTCTGGACTGCCAGACGTCGATTCCTATCGGGCTACCCTTTTGGAGGCTCCCTTGACTGGCGAGGATTTGTTTGGGGGGGGGGGGGGGGTCCTTCCCTCAGTGCAATCTGAGATGAGGTTGGACCCATTTGCGTCTGAGGATGCACGCCACAATTCTGCAGGCAAGGGCGCTAGCAGGAAGAGGCAGGCTTCTGGCTCCTCCAGGCGTAGGAGGAAGAAGGCAAAGACAGCTGCTTTTCAGCAGCAGGCTGCCCCTCCGACTTCCGCGGTAGGGGTTCCCATAGGGGTCGAGGCAAAGCCAAATTTTCCAGAGGTAGGAAGGGTTCCTGACTCTTCCTTGCCCTTGCTAACTCCTTGTCTACTGTCTGTCGCCGCTCCCACGCCCTTGGTCGCGGGAGGCTCCGCCGATGTGGTTTGGGAAGGGCTAGATTGGCCCCTTCCAGACTTGCCAGTGGGCGGTCGACTGTCCCATTTTGTTCCTCAGTGGAAGGAAATCACATCAGACAGTTGGGTCCAAGGGGTTGTGTCCAAGGGTTTCTGCATCCCGCTCCCTCTGGCGCGAGAGCCTATCTTTTTCCCTCCTCCTTCCGATTCGGGAAAGGTGGAGGCTCTCGGGTCGGAGGTTCAGGCTATGATCGCGAAGAGCGCGATCGAGGAACTTTCATTGGACCAGTGGTCTCCTGGGTTTTACTCCCGGGTCTTCCTCGTGAAGAAGAAGTCCGGTGTCTGGAGGCCTATTATCGACCTCAGTACGTTCAACACGTACGTCGATTCCCCGCACTTCCAGATGGAAACGCCACAACGCATCATTGCGTCAGTGCGACCAGGGATGTGGGCTACGTCCATCAATCTGAAGGATGCTTACTTTCACATTCCTGTCAGGAGGTCGGCCAGGAAGTTTCTCAGGTTCACTTTCGAGCAGAAGGTTTACCAGTTTCGCGCTATGCCCTTCGGCCTCATTGTGGCCCCCTTGGTTTCACCAAGTTGTTGCAGGTAGTAGTGGGGCACCTCCACAGTCTCTCAGACTGTTCGAGCTGCGTATGAGTCGGCAGGGGATCAGTCCTTGCGGGTGTCAGGGGTTAGGGCTCATGAGGTTCGTGCTTTATTTAGGTACTTCGTGGGCCTTATTTAATGGTTCTTCTTACGCTGAGGTCATGACAGCTGCTATTTGGAGTATTCATTCTACGTTTACAGAGTTCTATCTTCGATCTTTGTCGGAACAGTCTGATGGGTTGTATTCTTTGGGTCCTCTTGTGGCTGCCAAATTCCGTTGTCTGTCCTCCCTCTTCTTTTGCATAACCCTCATTATGTCTTCTCCGCGTAACCTGGAACGCTGGTCGTAATCAGGCTCTGTGTCACAAAAGAAAAGGTATTTTGAATTTTTCCTCCGGGGGTATGGGTCCTATTGTTGGAACCATTCATCGCTCCACGGAGACACAACTGTGGTAAGTCGAATTCGCATTATAATGACTGTGGTAACGTTATTTCAAATAGAATTGAGGTTTCTCTTGTGAAACCTATTTCTGTTATAAATACTTACCACAGTCATTAGGTGAGTTCCCTCTCGGCCTCCCCTTGTCTCCTTGGCTTTCACTTTTTTTTGGGCTTTGGAATTATAAAGTGGGAAGCATGGCTTCGTGTCTGATCACGTGCGTGAATACTGCCGCTTGTTTGGTTGGTTTTCCAGGGGTTTCCCATGGGGGGGGGGGGGGGGGGGGGAATTCTTTATTTGCGTATGTAAAGAGCCAAGTAAGGTTGGAATATGCATTATAATGACTGTGGTAAGTATTTATAATAGAAATTGGTTTCACAAGAGAAACCTCAATTTTCTCACACTGCTCAACCCAAACAGACACATTACACACAGTCAAACTTTCTACATCATGATAGGCCGCATGTTCCCAAGCCATACTTGTCGAGAGGAAATCAACAAAATTTTGGTCAGCCATCCGGTGATCGTTATGATAGGCCAGTCGTGGAGGGGATGGAGCTATGTAACAACTACAACAATGGTAAATGTAATGGAACTCAGTGCATCTTTGCCCATGCTTGTGAAGTGTGCAAGAATGGTAGCCATCCAGCAGTAACATGTGTCCATATAAACAACAAGAGGCCCAATGGGCCTGCATCGCTCACCTGGTATTAATCTCACACTTGTAATCTTAAAAGAGGACTAAAATACAGCTACAAGGAAAATATCAGTGCTTCATTCATAAGAACCTATTAAAAGATATAAACATCCGACACCTATGACCTTGAATGTCGAACAAGGACATTATAATATTAGGTTGAACAGAGTTTATAGTTTTCCAACCCAGCATGCTTCTGGAAAAATATCATTACCCTGGACCTTTTGGTTATACAGAACAAATCATTTAAAGATTTTAACATATATTGACCACTGTGACCTTGAATATGGGCGAAGGTCATTCACTTGGTAGTCCTTCATCCCAGCATTTTAATGGCCAAATATCATCACCCTTGTCCTTTTGCTTATTAAGAAGAAGTCATTCAATGGTTTTAAACATATTTGACCCCTGTGACCTTAAAAATATATATGTCAAAGTCATTCATTTGAACTTGGTAGTCCTTAATCCCAGCATGTTACTGGCATTATCCTAGGCCTCTTGGTTATTCAGAAGAAGTTGTTTAAAGGTTTAGAACAAATTTGACCCTGTGACCTTAAAAAAGATGAAGGTCAGCAAACTTTATAGCCCTTCATCCCAGCATGCTACTAGCCAAATATCATCACCCTATGCCTATTGGTTATTCAGATGAAGTTGTTTAAATGTTTAAAACATATTTGCCCTCTGTGACCTTGAATATAAGTCAAGGTCATTTATTTGAACAAACTTGGGCCAGGTGAGCTAAAAATGACTAAGTGCTATAGACATAGAATGGAAAGCCTCAACACCTGTTAATGTTGAACATCTCAGACTAGAGTTGAGCAAACATCCGGATAGGATCTTCGTAGAATATCTATGTACAGGATTAGAGCAGGGTTTTGACAAAATGGTTAAGACTGATATGGACCTACTAACTAATGAATGTAAAAATCTTAACTCTGTAAGGAAAGAAGCAGAAGCAGTCACAGAACTAATAGAGAAAGAAGTTGAGAAGGGATTTTTAGTGGGACCTTTTCGACAGCCCCCATTGGAGCAGTATAGAGTGAGTCCGATAGGATTGGCAACAGGAAAATACTCTGACAAGAAAAGACTGATAGTAGATCTGTCTGCTCTACACGATGACAATTACTATTCTAGTGTGAATAGCATGATAGAGAAAGAGGAATGCTACCTTAGTTATGTCAGAGTAGAGGATGCGGTCAACCTTATTCAGGACATCGGTACAAAGGTAACTATGTGTAAGACTGACATAACGGACCACTGAAGTTAATACCAATACACCCCTCTCAGTGGCACCTCTTCTATGGGAAGAACTGTATTACTTTTACAAACGTTTAGCTTTTGGTTGTCGGTCGAGCCCAAAGATATTCGACACTCTGTTTACAGCAGTGTGTTGGATAGCAGAGAAGAACTATCAAATAGGGAACATTTTATACCTATTGGATGATTTCATAACAATTAACCCGAAATCTGTGACACTATGATGACACTCAAACATAGATTCAACATCTACAATATTCCCTTGGCAGTACACAAAACAGAAGGCCCTAGCTGTGTTATAGAGTACCTGGGCATAGTGTTAGATTCAAATTGAGTGGAAGCGAGATTACCTAAAAACAAACTGGAGAAATTGGTAGAAATTATTATGGAATTTCAAGGTAGGAAATCATTCACAAAACTAGAGCTGTTGCAACTACAAGGGCACCTTAACTACTTTGTATGCATCCCGGGTGATTCCAATAGGAAAGTCCTTCATTTCCTATTTGATATCTTTGTCCACAAAAGTTTCATTCATGAGACATCACATCAAGCTGAACCATGACTGTCGAGAAGATCTTAAAATGTGGATATTCTTCTTACAAAATTGGAACGGGGTCTCTATATTTCGCAATGAAGCCTTATCACAAGCACAAGATATGGAGTTATATACAGATGCATCTAAAACGATAGGATATTGGGGTAACTTCATGGGAAAGTGGTTCTCGGAAGCATGGCCAGATGCATTGACATCAAAAGACATCAATTGTGATCTTTCAATCGCGTTCAAGGAACTATACCCAGTTGTAGTAGCGTGTATACTTTGAGGTCATCTGTGGGAAAGGAAACGGGAATTATTCTGGTGTGATAATGAAGGAACATTGGGAATCTTGAATAAAGGTAGATCTAAAGCTTTGAACATGATGCCTTTAATGAGGAGATTAACGTTATGTGCAGCACAACACCCCTTCACAGTGTTGGCGAAACATGTGCCAGGAGTTCAAAATCAAATAACTGATGCCTTGTCTCGTTTGCAGGTAAAACGCTTCCGGAAGCTAGCTCCAAAAGCAGATTTGGTACCACACAAAGTTCCCTTGGTGGAGGCAGTGTTCTGGACCTCCACAGTGTAGCTCATGGTTTGTGGAGAACATCTGTGGCACCCAAAACTAAGACAGCATATGAGACCAGTTTCAGAACCTACATCAGCTTCCTCCTCCTACAGGGTGTCGTAGCAGTGTAAAACCTTACCAGGCGCCTCCAGTAAGTGAGAACCTTCTCGTGTTATTCATAGCGTACTGTTATCAGTACTCGCAACTGAGTTACCACACTATCAAGTTATATATCTGCGGCGTTAAACATACTTGTCTTCAACTCAATGATCGGCCAAATATATCTACAAGCACGGAGTGGTCTCCTTGCCTTACAGCTGTGCTTAATGGAGTAAAACGCGCACAAGGAGGTCCCATGAAGACTTCCTGTTACCATAGACATACTGGTTAGTCTGTGTGCGAGATGGAGGAGAGGTCTATTTGGGGTAGCTACAGATCTCCTTTTAGAAACAGCTTGTACAACAGCCTTTTTCGGGTTTATTAGATGTGGCAAATTTACATGTACAAATAAATTTGACCCCAGAACAAACTTATGTGTGGAAGACTTGACAATTAATGATGATCACTTAATTCTCAACCTGAAGTCATCTTAAACCGTTCCGTTTCGAAAAGGTGTGTCTGTGTACTTATTCAAAAACAGCAGAGGTGTGTGTGCATACAAAATCATGGTCAAATACATTCAAGCTCCTGATATCAAAAGTGTTTCAGGCAAAAGTGCACTGTTAGTGACACAGGATAAAGTAGCACTTTGTAGGAAGGTGTTCATAGACTATCTTAAGCGTTCACTTACAGAGATAGGCTTAAACTCAGAACTGTATAATGGACACTCCTTCCGCATCGGGGCAGCTACATCAGCAGCTTCTCGTAACGTTCAGGATCACCTAATAAAGACATTTGGTAGATGGTCCTCTGACACTGTCGATACATCAAAACACCAAAAAGTACTTTGAGAAAAGCTCAGATAGTGATGGCATTGACAATAAGTGATGACAATTCTGTCTAATGCTAGATTTCAATAAGACTTGCAATACAATTGGTATAGATAATCATAACACATTATCAAGGTATAGGTATATTACATACTGATAAACATAGTCATGTATGAATTATACATATGTGTGAGATATATTGGGTATACTAACATGTATACGTATGTACCTACTAATGTTGTTTGTTTATCTTAATTTCAATTTTATTTTTTGTTTCTTTCTTGTTATTGTGACATACATGTATATCAACTTTATACAGTGTAATCTTTTGCATTTTAGAGTGTATTTAGCATCAAGTTATAATTTAAGTAGCAACAGGTAACTGCATTGCCCCTGTATAATTCAATGATCAATAGTGGCTGCAGTTAACAGGACCACATAACAGTAGGTTATTGTCTTATTAGTGAGTACCACAGGTACCTCAGATCTCGGGGAGTAACCGATGTAACACCAAGCACTCAGCAGCTTGTCACATCTTAGTAGCAGGTAACACTTACTTCCAGTAGTTTGTAGCAGGTAACCGCGGTTAAGCACTGGTGCCTACAGCTACACCCAGCTATAACGATGTTACTCCTCAACCACTTGGCAGCATGATTAACGCAAGTAAACAGGTAACCGCTGTTACCTTCTATTTAGATGCACTGGTTACCATGGTTACCTCCAGCGAGCAACTGCTGTTACTCCACAACCACCGAGCAGCATGATTATCGTAAGTAGTACAGGTAACCGCAGTTACCTTCAGTATTAGCACTGGTAGCCGCAGTTACCACCAGCGAGCAACCGCTGTTACTCCACAACAACTTGGCAGCATGACTAACATAAGTAAACAGGTAACCACAGTTATAGGAAGCTTAATTAGCAGTGTATTGTGGATGTACATGTATAGTATATGTTATTGGATAGGTAGTGTGTATCGTTCGGCAGAAGAGTGGGAAATAGCTAAGTTGGAGAGAGAGAATACAGAAATATTGACAGTGCCGACATTATGTCCATGAATACATGAATGCGAGAAAGAACAAGAATGGATGCGATGTAATGTAATCAGAGACATGTAGCGATTATGTTAATGCTTTTTGCTTTTTTTTGCATCGCCTGATCTGGTCAAGTGGTATGTAGATATATTCTTGCTATGTAGTACATATGTATATATATATAGGTATCTTGTAAATAAGATAGCGATGTTAATTACGTTTATAATTTGTTTTATACTCTCTTCTTGGGGGTATTCAGCTGTGGTAGATCCTCATTTGGGCAGTTACTCATTTTGTAATTCGTAATCCCCCAAGAATTTTATTCCGGGGTACATATATGCTTCTTTCATACATTGCCCAGTCAACAGCTACAATACAGCTGGCCGGGTACATACATGAAAGTATTAGTAGTAATATCACAGCTGTTATATCCCCTTAGCCCATATATAGGTAGAATGTTTTCGTAAATAAATATTATTTGCTAATAATCTCAATCTGCCTTTGAGTCCTTGTTCATAAATAGATGTTTATTTTTTTATAATTATAATCTACAGTTCTTGATTAAAGCGCACAGTCAGACTTTTAGTAGGTTTTTCAAATACTGTATTTTTAATGAAATACGTTTGTAACACCGTGTCAATATGTGATTTTTCTTACGTTTATAAAGACTGCTAGAGGGTGGTAAAGGCATGTCTTCAAAACGAAGTAAATCATAATTATCCTGGCCTGCCCGGGTTGTCACATGAACAAAGTTCCCAATAACAAATACCCCTGGCCTCCCACCCTCTGCATTATAAAATAGGTTACTTGTGGCAGAAAAGAAGCAGTTGGCCGTTGAGTTGTGATTTCTTACCAGACCTGAATACACCATCAATTCTGACCTTTCTTTACTTCGATGAATAATTAAAATGGATTATGAAAAAGTTGGCAAAGAAGATGAACACATTACATGCTTGTACAGTGCATATCTGGTATTGTGTGAAAGACCTGTGTTTAAAGCAAACAAAAATAGTCGAAAACGCTACACAAACAAATATGTTTTCAGTGCTAATAAGTTACAGTGTACTGAAACGTAAATGTTGGCGCATAACTTACGTATGAAAACGGTACTAAAAATGTATCCGGAATTTAAAAGAAAAACAATTAAATTGAACAACTAAATACAAAAATATTGTTGAGTGGCAAACCTATAACACCTGTATGTTTAAATGTGTGAATATCCTTAAATTCTAAACTTTACACAGAATTCAATTAAAATTAAAAGTATTTAAAATTTGAATTTATTAGTAAAGCGTGTATATTTTGAACCATGCCACTACTCAAAAGTAAAATTTGGAGTTTAAAAAGATTTCATTAAAGACCAACAAAAAGTAAATCATGTCTTTACAGTGATTTATTTCATAATACTGTCTGTAAGTGATGCTTCACAGATTAACATAGTACATGCATTTCATCCCAGATTTTTAGCTCATTATCATTATAACAAAAAAAGTTTTCTCAAGCACTCAGAATCTACAAGGAAAAGAGGAGTTCAATGTCTAACACATGATTAAATAACATTGGAATATTGTCGGAGTTATCTCCCTTTATCCCATTTCAAGTTTGATAATTGTATTAAAAAGCTCCTTAAACTTCACTGATGAGAAATACAAGGCCCAATTTGATTGTAGAGTTCACATCTCAGACCTTTGAAGTTGGTCAAGGTCATATTTATTGAAATAAACTTGACATCAAGAAATCTAACACTACAGACAAAATATCATCACTGTAATATACGTCTTTAAATGTTGGTCAAGGTCTACATACATTTACTTTATAGTGTTTTATCCCAGCAAACTACAGGCCAATCATTACTACTCTAAAGCTTTCAAAATATAATGCTTTTAATTTTTCACACATTTGATACCTATGACAAAGATAAGGTCATGGTCATTCATTTCAACAAATTTTAGAGCCCTTCAAACCAGCAGCTAAACAAGAGGCCCAACAGGCCTGCATCGCTCACCTGGTATTAATCTCAAACTTGTAATCTGTAAAATGGACTAAAATAAATCTACAGGCAGAATATCAGTGTTTGATTCATAAGAACCTATTAAAAGATTTGAACATATGACGCCTGTGACCTTGAATGTCGAACAAGGACATTTGGTTGAAAGTGGGTCAAGGTCATTCATTTGAACAAACTTGATAGTCCTTCATTCCAGCATGCTACAGGCCCAATTTCAGTACCCTTGGCCTTTTGGTTATTGAGATGAAGTGGTGTGAAGATTTTAAGACATTTGACCCCTGTGAACTTGAAAATGGGTTAAGGTCATTCATTTGAACAAACTTGGTAGCCCTTCATCCTAGCATACCGCATGCCTAATATCTGTACCCTGGGCCTTTTGGCTATTGAGAAGAAGTTGTTTAAAGATTTTAAGACATTTTTAACTCTGTGACCTTGAAAGTTGGTCAAGGTCATTCATTTGTACAAACTCTGTAGCCCTTCATCTCAGCATGCTACAGGCCCAATATCAGTACCCTGGGCCTCGATTATTGAGAAGAAGTTGTTGGAAATTTTTAACATATTTGACCCTTGTGACCTTAAAAGTGAGTCAAGATCACTAATTTGAACAAACTTGGTAGCCCTTCATCCCAGCATGCTACAGGCCCAATAACACTACCCTGGGCCTTTTGGTTATTGAGAAGAAGTCGGGCAAAGTGAGCTAAAAAATGTGTATCATTACTCTAGAACTTACATATCTTAAGAGATCACTTCCCCATGCTAAAAAGTAGGATTTTTTTCAGATTGAATCCCACCTTCCTCTTTGACACCAAATGCACCACATGGCCTCTTTATACAAAATTAAAAATTGGTCCTTCAAAAAAGGTAAAATCCTTCAGCAGTACTAAAGGAGTTCAATAAAGATCTACTCCTAGAAGACCCATCAGCTCTGTCCCAAGGTTGGCCACATCCTTCACTTACGCAAAATACAAACGTTCTCCTTTCTTTATACATTATTTGGTTGATATCCCTTCATCAGAAATTAAGAAGTAGGATTGAAAAGATTTAACCATTTTCCCACTGGTTGGCCCATCCCTCTGTCCCTTTATCTGTTGGATTGTTTATACCAAATAAGGCTGAAATCCCTTTGCCCACACTGAAGGAGTACGAGTGGGGAAGAGAGGGTGGAAAATTTGTTTATACAAAGTAGAGTTCTTTTGGCCAAATAATGTTCCAGACAAAAATGGCATCAACACTTTCACCAATACTGAAGGAGGAGGATTTTTCAGATTTTCCCCTACTTCTCCCTTTTGTGCCCCATATCCTCAGATGACAAGTTAAATGTAAAATAACAATGGAAATGTCATTCTCTGTATTCTGGTTTAAATTTTGATCCCATTGGTTTTTTATTTATTGGGGTTGGCTACCTGAGCTACCAATTTTATCTCTTTCGTCCAGAGCACATTTTCCCGCAATTTTCTCCCTAAAAAAAAAGAGGAACTGTGATCACAGTCACATATTTACTTCAGTATATAGGCTTATTCAAAACAGTGAGAAGACTGCAATCAACATATAAAACAAGAGGCCCAATGGGCCTGCATCGCTCACCTGGTATAAATCTCACACTCGTAACCTTAGAAGTGATCTTAAATAAAGCTACAGGCAAAATATCAGTATTTATGATTAAAATTCATTCAAAAGAACCTGTTAAAAGGTTTTAAAACATTTCACTCCTGTGACCTTGAAATTTGAACAAGGTCATTATGTTGAACAAATTTTATAGCCTTTCATTTCAGGATGCAACTTGCAAAACATCAACATTCTGGGACCGATAATTATTAAGAAGAAGTCGTTTAAAGATTTTGAACATATTTGATCCCCGTGACCTTGAATATGATTCAAGGTCATACATTTAAACGAACTTGGTAGCCCTTCATCCTAGTATGCTACAGACTAAATATCAACATCCTGGCCTTTTGGTTATTCAGAAGATGTCATTTAAAGATTTTGAACATATTTGACACCTGTGACCTTGAATAAATGTCAAGGTCGTTCATTTGAACAAAGTTGGTTGCCTTCATCCTAGTATGATACTGACTAAAAATCAACATCCTTGGCGTTTTGGTTATTCAGAAGAAGTTGTTTAAAGGTCCTTTTTAACAATTGACCCCTGTGACCTTGAATATGAGTTAAGGTAATTCATTTGAACAAACTTGGTAGCCCTTCACCCCAGCATTTTTCTTGCCAAATATCATCTCCCTGGGCATTTTGGTTATTCAGAAGAAGTTGTTTAAAGTTTTAAGACAATTGACCCCCTTGTGAGCTTGAATAAAAGAGGCCCAGAGGGTGAGCAATACAGAGGGCCTGTATTGCTCACCTGGATATCTAAGCAATCATGGCAAAATATTCTCCAAATGAGATCCAAGGGAATGTGCCAGACCCCAAGGCCAATCCTTGTAGCATATCTGTATTCAATTTTTCATGCTCAGCAATTTAATGTATGGTTATGGGGTGGGTATCTCAACTGCTTCCAAGCTGTGACTCGGAAACTAGGTCCCTAGGGTTGTGGCCAGACTCCAGGATCAATTCTAATATCATGACTGCATTCCTCTCTTTATGCCCAACGATTGTATATATAGTTTTGAGGTGGGGATCTTAACCATTTCAAATTTAAGACCCAGGGGTTAAGTCTCCAAGGGTGGGGCAGACCCCAAGGCCATCCTGGAAGCATATGCGCATTCGTCTCTTTATACTCAGCAATTGTATATATGGTTATAGGGTGGGGATCTCAACTGTTTCCAAGCTGTGACTAAGAAACTAGGTCCCTAGGGGTTCGGTTAGACCCCAGTTTTTTTTTCTAATATCGTGACTACATTCGTCTCTTTATGCCCAGCATTTGTATATATAGTTTTGGGGTAGGGATCTCAACCGTTTCAAAGTTTTGAATCAGGGACTATGTGTCCAAGGGTGGGGCCAGACCCTAGGGACATCCTGGAAGCAAATGTGCATTATTCTCTTTATACTCAGCAATTGTATATATGGTGATATGGTGGGGATCACAACCATTTCCAAGTAATAAACTTTTTTGGGCACCACCCCTTAGCCTTACCATTTGTTCAATTTTGAATCCCTGCCTCCCATGAATGCTTCCGACCAAATATGATCGATATCCATGGCATAGTTCTACAGCAGAAGTCGTTTATAGCAATATAGCCCAATTGACCCCTTTTGGCCCTGCCTCTAAGCCCCCTGGGGGGTCAGACCCACCATTTGTACAATTTTGAATCACCACCACCTAGGGATGCTTCCAGTCAAATATGGTTGATATCCATTTCTTAGTTCCAGGGAAGAAGTCGCTTAAAGCAATATAGCCAAATATCCTTTTTGGCCCCCTCCCCTAAGCCCCCTGGGGGGTCAGCCACTCCATTTGTACAATTTTGAATCCCTGCCTCCCAAGAATGCTTCTGACCAAATATGATTGATATCCAGTGCATAGTTTTACAGAAGAAGTCATTTATTGCAAAATAGCCAAATTGCCCCCTTTTGGCCCTGCCCCTAAGCCCCCTGTGGGATCAGCCCCACCATTTGTACAATTTTGAATCTCCACTACCTAGGGATACTTCCAGTTAAATATGGTTGGTATCCACTTCTACTTTCCAGAGAAGAAGTCGCCTAAAGCAATATAGCCAAATTGACCCATTTTGGCCCCTGCCCCTCAGTCTCCTGGGGGGGGGGGGGGCCCCCCCCCCCTTTTTAAAATTTTTTTTCCCCCCCCCCCCTAGGGATGCTTCCAGTTAAATATGGTTGGTATCCTCTTCTTAGTTCCAGAGAAGAAGTCGCTTAAAGCAATATAGCCAAATTGACCCCTTTGGCCCCGCCCCTCAGCCCCCTGGAGGGTCAGCCCCACCATTTGTAGTATTTTATATCCCCACCACCTAAGGATGCTTCCAGTCAAATTTAGTTGAATTCCAATCAGTGGTTAAGAAGAAGTCGTTTAAAGAAATTGTTGACGTACGGACAGACGGGAGCTAATAAATCAAGGTCATTCATTTGAACAAACTTGGCAGCCCCTTACCCAAGCATGCTACTGGCCAAATATCATCTCCCTGGGCATTTCGGTTCAGTTGTTTAAAGTTTTTAACATATCTGACCCCTGTGATCTTGAATATGGGTGAAGGTCATTTATTTGAAAAAGTTTCAAAGAAATCTATTGAAAAATGAGCAAATGCATAACAGGACAAAGTTTTGCCAATTTTTTTGTAAAGGGGCATAACTCTCTTAAAAAGATTCAAAATACAAATTTATTTCAGGGGACACAACTACATCTGGTTCTGCCACTACACCAAATATTTCAAAGAAATCTATAGAAAAATTAGCAAATGCATAGCAAATTTTGTCTAAGGACAGACAGCCGGACAAGCTGATTTCAGTATACCCTCCCCCCCACCCCCCACTTCATTGCAGGGGATATAACTATCACTGCAAATAGTGTCAGTACCAAATATCAATTCTAAACTGACATAATACATAGTGTAGTAGTGACAATATACATTTACAATTGTCAATCAGACAGACTACATACTCTCGGATTTGAGTTAAACTGAGGGATCATCTTTGATATAGCTGTATTTGATGTGATTTTTTCAGTCACATGATACCACATTGACAACCAGCATGGTACCCATGTGCAATATTTATGACTACAGTTGGCTCAGAATATAGAATACAAGGAAATTATTTTTTCCTGAACCCACCTCCACTTTTTACAAAGCACATTAGGGCCAATGATGACCTTCGCACTAGAGAAACACATCACTTCCATACTTTAAGATTACGACCTTCACACTAGAGAATTACATAATTTCCATACTTTAACATTATGACCTTCGCACTAGAGAAACACATCACTTCCATACTTTAACATTATGACCTTCACACTAGAGAAACACATCACTTTCATACTTAAAGATGATGACCTTCACACTAGAGAAACATATCACTTCCATACTTTAAGATTATGACCTTCACACTAGAGAAACACATCACTTTCATACTTAAAGATGATGACCTTCACTCTAGAGAAACATATCACTTCCATACTTTAAGATTATGACCTTCACATTAGAGAAACACATCACTTCCATACTTTAAGATTATGACCACACACTAGAGAAACACATCACTTCTATACTTTAAGATTAAGACCTTCACACTAGAGAAACATATCACTTCCATACTTTAAGATTATGACCTTCACACTAGAGAAACACATCACTTCCATACTTTAAGATTATGACCTTCACATTAGAGAAACACATCACTTCCATACTTTAAGATGATGACCTAGCTTCACACTAGAGAAACATATCACTTCCATACTTTAAGATGATGACCTTCTGATTAGAGAAACACATCACTTCCATACTTTAAGATTATGACCACACATTAGAGAAACACATCACTTCCATACCTTAAGATTTAGACTACCACAACATATACTATCATACCCATGCAAACTCATCCTATTTATAGTAGCACAAAGACTTTCCCAGCACATGTATATCATACTTCGGATTCCAAGTCTCCAAACTGATAATTTGTCCAAATTTCTTCAAAGAGTTCTTTACATTGTACTCTACTACGGAGTTTAACACACAGCAGGAATGCCCCCGACATTTTCCTGTGGAGGGAGTAGGTTTCTATCGGTGGAGGGCACAGTCTCTGGTCAGCCATTATAGGGATGATCTCTGTTATTCTTTTAGTCATATCCTGTGCTCCAAAGTCAAATGGTTCGTAGGATGCCAGTGCCTCACCCAGAATCTGCACAGCACTTACATGAGCTTCTTCCATACTCTAAAATCAGAAAGGAGAACAAAATAGAAATGATAGTGTTCATAATATATGATAAACATATATATTTGATACTGTGGGTGACCTCTCGACCGAGGTCTCCTCATACTTTGATGTGTAGAGACATGTTAACCCTCTTCCACTCACCATTCTTGACACTCCAATAGTGTCAACAAGATAAGTTGACTTCTCCAGCAGGTAATACCATTCACTGCAGGAATATGGAGGTAACAAGACTGACATGAGTCTTAGTTTTATATCAAGGGGTATGATAGTCGGAATTATTTTGACGTTTTATCAACTTTTTTATATCGGTCTGGTGTCGATTAATGTCAGAACTCCGGTGCTCTATAACATGCGGGAAATATTAAAGCGACCCGGGCCAGGGTCGCTTTTCAAACTGATATTTTAGAAACAAATCGTCACTTTCACACACATGTAGCACATGGACAAGTGTGTGAAAGTGACAATTTGTTTCTAAAGTATCAGTTTGAAGAGCGACCCTGGCGCGGGTTGCTTATTTCCTGCATGTTATAAAGGGCTGGATTTCTGACGTTAATCGACTCCAGACCGATATAAAAAAAGTCGATAAAATGTCAGAATAATTCGGACCAGGATAGAGTATTAAACAAATTAATCGTTGAGCTCCACATTCATCTGCATGGCTTGATCTGATCGCATTTTTAAGTGTTAAGAGTTACCCCCCTTACCTTGCTCTCATGGCCTGTAAGGAAGCCCAACTCTTTAGAGTATTTGAGAATACCCTCTAGGTCCTGGTCTGCTGCTGCTCGAATCACCTTGATGTAACCATCAACAAATTTCTTATCAAACTCACGACTTGCTCCAAAGTCCAGTAGCACAATCTACACAAGAAAGGACAGTAAAAGACCAATCAGACACAAAAGAAAAGAAAAACACAAACAATCTGAATTATTAATAACCAACAAGAGGCAATTCTTAAAGCATTGACATTTCTGACCTATGCAATTAGTTTCTCATCCAGCCCTAAGCCAACAATGATTAATAGACTCTTTCATGCCCAGGGGTGTAGGATAGGAAAATTCTACCTGTTTTCTTTTTTTGGTAAAGCCGATCGAGGGTTTTACCAAATTTGAAAACCCTGAGGGTAGAATTTCTCTATCCTAAACCCCTTGGCATGAAAGAGTATTTTTCTCTCATTCCAACTACCAGAATAAGCTCAGAGACCATGAAAATGCATTTTGACTGACTACCATTTGGAAATTGTCAACTTTGCCCCTTAGCTATTTTGACAAAAATGAATCTGTCCGCAAGATTTAGCATACCCCATATTAGCAAACCAAGTTCGCGCAGAAAAATTGATCTCATCTTTCTAACTAGTATGGTTTTAATTTCATCACGTTGCCTTTTCCATGTTGTGGCAGCCAAGTTTTTCAAATTTGTGACGTCACGTCACTGTTGAGCCATTGTCACATCACGTCACGTGAAATGGGGTGTAAGATAGAAATTTCTTACACCCTTTTCTTACCCTGGACAGCTCTATCTACATGCACAGAAATGAGAGAAAACTGTCCCAAACTAAACAAAGACAACTTTAATACCAACCTAGCACAGGAAGGGGGAACGACAACACCAAGCATTGGTGTTCTTAATCTCAGAAAAGAAATGGGTAAAAGGCTAACTCAAAATAAATGTTTTAATACCATGTAACCGGACAAAAGTACAATGCCATATAATTTCTTACTGTTATATTGTTCAGTTAATTGGTTGACCTTCTGGCTTTCTTTATCAAGGTAAAATTTGTTTTCACCTTTATAAAGAAATATTGTTACATATATAAACTAGAACACTGACAGGTCAGTAAGGGCCCCGTCTTGTGGCAATATATCCCCCATAAACATCAAGATGCAATCTGCCCATATAGCTAAGCTTGACGTTTGACATTTGGACTTCAAAAAGAATCGCAAGGAAGCAAAATATACATTTTACATGTACTATGATGTGAGTCTTGTTTCCTTCCACCGCCATATTTGCTGGGCTAACAGAAATGTAAACACTGGTGCAATACTCATTTGTTAGCTTTGATTTGTTTTATTTCACCTTATATACCTCCTCCATCAAGAGCCAGGGTCAAAGTCAGAGATCCACTTTGTCTTTGACCTTTGGACCCAAATGACCTTGACCAATTACCCAGTGACCCTGATCTTTAGTCAGTTGACTTATTTTTTAATTCCGACCAACTTTGCTTCTTAATATCATAACAAAATGTTCTTCAGTGAAAAATTCAAAACTTGACCTTGACCCTTTGGATCCCATAACCTGGACCTAAGGTCAGTTGACTCTGTGTTAAGTTCTGAACAACATTGCTGCATAATGTCATAACAAAATATTCATCAGGGAAAAGGTACAAAATTTAACCTTCGCCTTTGACCTAGTGACCTTGACCTTTGGTCAATTGATTCCTTGTTTAATTCTGAGCAACATTGCTTCAAAGTGTCATAGCGAAATTTTCACCAGTGAAAAGATACAAAATGTAACCTTAACATTTGATCCAATGACCTTGACCTTTGGTCAGTTGACTCCTTGTTTAATTCTGATCAACTTTGCTTCATCATGCCATAACAAAATGTTCATCAGTGAAAAGATGCAAAAATTGACCTTGACCTTTGAATCTAATGACCTTGACCTTTGCCTCAACTTTTTACCTCAGTGTGTCTCTATGTTTAATTCCGAACAACTTTGCTTCATAATGTCATAGGGAAATGTTCACCAGTGAAAAGCTACAAAATTTGACCTTGACCCCTGATCCGATGACCTTGACCTTTGGTCAGTTGACTCCTTGTTTAATTCTGACGAACTTTGCTTCATAACGTCATTACAAAATGTTTATCAGTGAAAATATGTAAAATTTGACCTCGACCTTTGAACCTAATGAGCTTGACCTTTGACCTTGAATTTTTACTTCAATGTGTATTTTTGTTAACTGAACATCTTGACCAAGTTTCAAGTACATCGGTCAATAAATAACAAAGTTATTAGCCAGGATCAAAATTTGTGGACGGACAGACAGACAGACAGAGGGATTACTAAGGGGCACCCGTATCTCCAATACAGGGCCCTAATTACACATGAGCTGTTCATACTATTCCTACCTTACATCTGCATGTGAATATTTTCTTGTCAAGATCTTGTCATGTATTTCCACACATTTGACCACCTTGACCTTGAAGGTGTAACAAGGTCATTACCGTATTTTACCGGCAATAAGCCCCCTCTCGCAAATAAGCCCCCTCCCCACTTTGGTAAATGTCCCGGGAACAGGGTGGGTGCCTGGCATTAAGCCTCCTCCCTAATTTTGTCTCCATCTCAAAAATAAATGTATGTCAATTTTTGTCTCTTGCATAAGCAATATTATAACACGTGATTATGGAATATGATGTAAACATAACAAAATATCAAGATATCTAGATGGCTTAACTTAAAACAAAACATCGTTCTGTTGCTGAAAGAACACCATGCTTTAATTTTTTAACCGGTTGTGTATTTTGCAGATTTCAATGTAAAATGAAACATGTTGTTTGTACCAAATCCATTATATCTATAGTCTGTACTGAAATAGCAAATTATGAAAACACTTTAAAATACTTTTATGAGTTGTACCAGGAGGTAAAATCGTTTTTAAATTGATAATTTTTTTCATATCAAATCTTTCTGTCAAGGTCAGTTCGTTCATATTGCCATTCTGAAATTTGTATCAACCAATACATGTACAGTTGTCAACAAAAACGGCTCCTGGACATTATTTTTTGGAAGACTTTTATCCATAAAACATGTCTCTTGCTCATAATGCTTGCAACCTGCATACCGATAAGTTCTTTTGGTTTTGTGTTAATTAAGCCTTGTATATGCTTGAATTCATAGTACAGTATATATTTAAATCATGTAATGGCACTAGCCAAACACCAGAGAGCCTGGTCGTTATATTAATTTTTTACACCTCTGAATGTTGGTATTGTGTCTTAAAGAGTACTGATTGACTTATCAATAAAAAATATAAAAATTGTGTTTGATAAAATAAAATTATCGAGACAAGTTGATGATAGAAAATAAGTTAAGAAAAACAACAGCACCATCAATTTTTTGTGATTGTTAAAAAATATTCTGTCTGTTAGTTGTTATTTTAACAACATGAACAACTACAGTGGATAAGTACATAATATTTAGTGTGGTCATAGATCAAAACAGTGGTATATATCCAAGATGGCNTTAGCATGTCTATAAGGTAATCAAGTTAGGTGGGGGGGTTATTGGCAGTAAAATACTATAAGTTGAATAAATTTTATAGCCCTCCATCTAGCATGCAACTTTTGGTTATTTAGAAGAAGTCATTCAAAGTTATCATATTTAACCCCTTTGACATTGAATATTAGTCAAGGTTATTTTTTTTAACAAACTAGGTCGCCCTTCATCCAGGCAAATATCACCATCCTAAGCCTTCAAGTTGTTCCGAAGAAATTGTTTCAAATAAAAGATATCCCAGAAGGATTATGGCACCCACCGTTTTACCATCTTCATTAGTTCTACATCAGTTTGATCTTTTCTCTTTTATTCTTTTATCTGTTTGATTGACTCATGTATACAGTAAATGCACCTTAAGGTAACTTTTGATCTAAACTTCATACTGCTGTGTATAAAAGACAACCTTCAATGTAAGTTTGTTGTTTCAGTGAGACCAGATTTAAAAGTAAATATGCATAACTACAGACAAATGGGGAACCTACAAACACAAGAGGTCTAAGGGCCTTATCAGTCACCGGAGTTATATTATATAGGTACTGACCGGTAGCTCAATTTTGTTGTTGAGACGTGATGTGAAAATCAACACATAAACAAAGTAAAATACAATACTTGTCATGTCACCAAAGGTAAAGTACTTTAAAAACTATTCAAATAAATCATTTTGCTTTTGAGAAATATAATATCTATTGTTATTTAGCCAATTTTCCTCCCTGGCCAACCCTGGGATAGGTCAGAATCTTGCTTTCTCAAACTATTTGATTTCAATTTCATTATTACTATTCCAACCAAGTTTGAATTATTTCTTGCTGAAAATTGACAGGACATAGTTTGTTAATAAAACATCTGAGTCTGATGAAGAAGATTTTTTAACTTTTGATTTTACCCATTTTGGCCTCATCCTTCTAGCCCCGGGGATGGGGCATGATCTTATGGGGCATGAACTTATTTTCTCATACCCATCTAATTGCCATCTGGCACCATAACCATTCCAACAAGGTTGAATAATTTTCCTGCTAAAAATGCACAAATTTTATACCCTAAAGTGTTATTTCCCTATTCAAACTAAAGTAAACTTTACCCCCTCCCCAAGCGAGAAATGATGGCCAAGAGGTAATGAAATTGAAAAAAAGATAAAGCCCCTGATGGAATGTTCATCTATACAAAGAAATGGACTGTAGTTCATCTGAATCTGGAGGAAAGAAAGTTTTTTGAAATATTATTTAATTTTCCCTTTGGGGCCCCGCCCTGGCCCCTGGGGTTAAGGCAGGAATCCCATTTTAAATTGTAATACCATCTTCCTCCAAAGATGATTCTCACCAAGTAAGAATAATTTCCTTCTCAAAATTGACAAAATATACCCAAAAGTGTTATTTCCCTATATCAACTATTGTAAACTTTACCCCAAGGGAGAATGAATTGCCAGGGGGTACATGAAATTTACAATTTAAACAAAGGTCCTGATGATCTTTCCATCCATGAAGAGAAATTGACTATAGTACCTCTGAGTCTGGAGAAGAAGATTTTTGAAGAAGAGGCCCAGAGGGCCTGTATCGCTCACCTAGAAATGTTAGCAAAATTTAAGTTGAAATAGCCAGATGTTGCTGTTTTACATGGCTAGTCAGGGTTTATTATTTATATGAATTGGACAAATTCCTGTCATTCCTACAAGAAAAGGCGGAATTTGAAGAATTTGCTATGTTTCCACTTCTGGGCCAAGCCCCTCTGCCCACAGGAGCGTTTTAAAAGAAAAGTTGACGGACGGACGACGGACACTGCGCCAAAAATTGGTTAATTTTCTCTTTGGGCGCTGGCCCTTGCGGTTGGGGTAGGAATCCCAATTTTACAATTTTGTAGTGTCATCTACCAAGGATGATTCTGACCAAGTTTGAAAAAATTCCATGTACTGGTTCTTGAGAAGAAATTGAAAATGTAAAAAGTTGACGCACCACACACGTTGCACGACAATGGAGGGAAAGCAATCAGAATAGGTCACTTGAGCAAAGTTCTAAAAGATTCCTCAAGTACTTCCTAAGAAATAGCGATAACAAACATTCACTGTTAAAATCAAAAGATTGCTGCCTGTCAGCCATTTTACATATCTGATCAGTCTCAAAATTAAACAAGAGGCCCAATGGGCCTGCATAGCTCACCTGGTATTAATCTCACAGTTGTAAACCTCAAAAGTGATCTAAAATAAAGCTACAGGCAAAATGTCAGTTTTTAACGTATTTCACCCTGTGACCTTAAATATTGCCTGGGTGAAGGTCATTTATTTGAACAAACTTGGTAGCCCTTCATCCGCGCATGCTACTGACCAAAATATCACCATACTGATCCTTTTTGTTATTCAGAAGAAGTTGTTTAGAATTATTTACCTATTTGACCCCTGTGACCTTGAATTTAATTCAAGGTTATTCATTTGAACAAACTTGGTAGCCCTACATCCTAGCATGCTACTGACCAAATATCGATATCCTGGGCATTTTGGTTATTCAGAAGAAATTGTATAAAGTTTGTTTTAGACAATTAACCCCTGTGACCTTGAATATCAGTCAAGGTCATTCATTTGAACAAACTTGGTAGCCCTTCATCATGCTCCTGGTAAATGTTTTTAAACCTGTGCATTTTGGATATTCAGAAGAAGTTGTTTAAAGTTTTTAACATATTGCACCCCTGAGACCTTTAATATGGCCTAGCTGGGTTTTAAACATTTCACCCCTGTGATTGAAAGTCGAACAAAGTCATTATGTTGAACAAATTTTATAGCCTTTCATCTCAGGATGCAACTTGCAAAGTATCAACATCCTGTGACCCATGGTTATTCAGAAGAGGTTGTTTAAAGATTTTAAACAAATTTGACCCTGGTGACCTTGAATATAAGTCAAAGTCATTCACTTTAACAAACATAGTAGTTCTTGATCCCAGCATGGTACTGACTAAATATCAACATCCTGAGCCTTTTGGTTATTCAGAACAAGTTGTTTAAATATTTTGAACATATTTGCTCCTTGTGACCTTGAATATGATTCAAGGTCATACATTTAAACAAACTTGGTAGCCCTTCATCAAAGTATGCTACTGACTAAATATCATCACCCTGGGCATTTTGGTTATTCAGAAGAAGTTGTTTAAAGTTTTTAACATATTTGACCCCTGTCATCTTGAATATAGGTGAAGGTCATTCATTTGAACACATTTTTTAGCCCTTATCATCTCAGCATGCTACTGGCCAAATATCATCACCCTGTGAATTTGGTTATTCAGAAGAAGTTGTTTAAAGGTTTTTTAAGACATTTTGACACCTGTGACCTTGAATATGGGTGAAGGTCATTTATTTGAACAAACTTTGTAGCCTTTCATCTCAGCATGCTACTGGCCAAATATCATCACCCTGTGCATTTTGGTTATTCAGAAGTTGTTTATTGTTTTTAACATATTTGACCCCTGTGACCTTGAATATGGGTGAAGGTCATTCATTTGAACAAACTTTGTAGCCTTTCATCTCAGCATGCTACTGGCCAAATATCATCACCCTGTGAATTTGGTTATTAAGAAGAAGTTGTTTAAAGTTTTTAACATATTTGACCCCTGTGACCTTGAATATGGGTGAAGGTCATTCAGGACGGACCATGGACCACAAACCAAGGACCACGGACGCAGGTCGATTTGAATATAAATGCCATTCAATCCTTATATAAATCAATTCAGGCAATCTTAAAAACAGCAAAGCTAAGGTACATGTATTGCATATTGAGACACTTCACAAAAGTGGTTCTCCTCATTCTAGCTAAAGGCACATTATTCTGTGTTAGACTATAGACCAACTACTTACCTTGCCTGTATCAGGCTGATACATAAAGTTTGACCAGTTTGGATCTGTCTGCATGAACCGATAAACATATAATTCCTTCAAGCATAGCTTTAGAATATCTGAACCAATCTGAAAAAACACAAACATTTTGAAGTTGTAAGAAAACATTAATAAAGTATGTATTCTTTGTATTAATCACAGCAGTTTCAACTTAAGGTAATAGGATTGTGTCGCCATTTCTCAGTAGAATTTCTTCAAATTTTGTAGTTATATTGCTTTGAAGTAAAGAAAATTTTCTGCCACCAAAATAAAAAGGTTGTCAGAATTTTAAGGATTTTAAATTGAAATTTATGTAAAAAAGGAGTGAATTTAAAAAAAAAATGAAACACAATGTTTTGCCAAAACAAGAGGCCCAGAGGGCCTGTATCGCCCACCTGGATACCTTAGCAATCATGGCAAACTATTCTCCAAATGAGATCAAGGGAACATGCCATACCCCAAGGCCAATCCTTGTAGCATAGCTATATTAGATTTTTCATGCCCATCAATTTTATGTATGGTTATGGGGTGGGGATCTCAACTGTTTCCAAGCTTTGACTCAGAAGCTAGGTCCCTACCGTTGTGGACAGACCCCAGGATCAATTCTAATATCGTGACTGCATTTGTCTCTTTTTGCCAAGCATTTGTATATATAGTTTTGGGGTGGGGATCTCAACCGTTTCAAAGTTATGACCAAGGGGCCAAGTCTGCAAGGGTGGGGCAGACCCTGGGATCAATTATAATATCATGACTGCATTTGTCTCTTTATGCCCAACAATTGTATATATAGTTTTGGGGTGGGGATCTCAACCGTTTTAAAGTTATGGCCCAGGGACTATGTCTCCAAGGGTGGGGCCAGACGCTAGGGACATCCTGGAAGCAAATGTGCATTCTTCTCTTTATACTCAGCAATTGTATATATGGTTATATAGTGGGGATCGCAACCATTTCCAAGTAATTCACCCTGGGCATTTTGGTTATTCAGAAGAAGTTGTTTAAAGTTTTTAACATATTTGACCCCTGTGACCTTGAATATGGGTGAAGGTCATTCATTTGAACATACTTTGTAGCCTTTCATCTCAGCATGCTACTGGCCAAATATCGTAACCCTATGCCTCTTAGTTATTCAAAAGATGTTTTAACATATTTGACCCCTGTGACCTTGAAAGTAGGTCAAACTAATTTTCATTCTCAAACTTTGTTAGGCTCTATCCCAGGAAGCCATCAGCCAAATATGAAGATTAGTATTGCATTAATGTATATTAATTTCATATGTGCTGAAATTGTGTAAAATTTATTATCTCTAAACGATTAAAAATTGACATTTTGGTCCCTAGGGGTTCGGTCAGACCCCAGGGTCTATTCTGATATCATTATTGCATTCGTCTCTTTATGCCCAGCATTTGTATATATAGTTTTGGGGTGGGGATATTAACCATTTCAAAGTTATGACCCAGGGGTTAAGTCTCCAAGGGTGGGGCAGTCCCCAAGGCCAACCTGGAAGCATATGTGCAATCATCTCTTTATACTCAGCAATTGTATATATGGTTATATAGTGGGGATCGCAACCATTTCCAAGTAATTCACCCTGGGCATTTTGGTTATTCAGAAGAAGTTGTTTAAAGTTTTTAACATATTTGACCCCTGTGACCTTGCATTTAATTCAAGGGTATTCATTTGTACAAGCTTGGTAGCACTACATCCTAGCATGCTACTGACCAAATATCGATATCCTGGGCATTTTGGTTATTCAGAAGAAGTTGTTTAAAGTTTTTAACATATTTGACCCCTGTGACCTTGCATTTAATTCAAGGGTATTCATTTGTACAAGCTTGGTAGCACTACATCCTAGCATGCTACTGACCAAATATCGATATCCTGGGCATTTTGGTTATTCAGAAGAAGTTGTTTAAAGTTTTTAACATATTTGACCCCTGTGACCTTGCATTTAATTCAAGGGTATTCATTTGTACAAGCTTGGTAGCACTACATCCTAGCATGCTACTGACCAAATATCGATATCCTGGGCATTTTGGTTATTCAGAAGAAGTTGTTTAAAGTTTTTAACATATTTGACCCCTGTGACCTTGCATTTAATTCAAGGGTATTCATTTGTACAAGCTTGGTAGCACTACATCCTAGCATGCTACTGACCAAATATCGATATCCTGGGCATTTTGGTTATTCAGAAGAAGTTGTTTAAAGTTTTTAACATATTTGACCCCTGTGACCTTGAAAGTAGGTCAAACTAATTTTCATTCTCAAACTTTGTTAGGCTCTATCCCAGGAAGCCATCAGCCAAATATGAAGATTAGTATTGCATTAATGTATATCAATTTCATATGTGCTGAAATTGTGTAAAATTTATTATCTATAAACGATTAAAAATTGACATTTTATAATAAAACCATATACACATAGTAATTACATGTAAGAAGTATCGTTCTTGAAAAACTTCACAGTAGTGAAATAGGTAGCCGGTCTCCTGAAGTACAGAACAATGGACACATGTGACTCATTAATTAAACAAGAGGCCCAAGGGCCTTAGCGGTCACCTGAGTTATATCATAGGTACTGGTAGCTTTATTTTATTGTTTAGATGTGATGTGGAAATCAGCATGTAAACTAAATGAAATACAATACTTATCATGTCATCCAAGGATAAGAATTTTAAAATATTTGTAAATGTTCCCTTTGGGGCCCCACTCTAACCCCTGGGGATGAGGCAGGAATTCCAAGTTTACAATGTGATACCGTCGTCCACCACAGAGGATTCTGACCAAGTAAAAATAATTTCCAACAGAAAATTGTCAAAATATACCCAAAAGTGTTGTTTCCCTATATAAACAATAATGCAGAGAAACCCCTCCCCAAGAGATAACGAATTGCTCGGGGGTTCTGAAATTTACAATTTAAACAAAGCCCCTGATGATCTTTCCATCCATGCAGAGAAAATGACTGCAATACCTCTGAGTCTGGAGAAGAAGATTTTTGAAATATTGGCTAATTTTCCCTTTTGGGCCCTGCCCTGGCCCCTAGGGTTTGCGTAGGAATCCCAATTTTACAATTTAAAACCATCTTCCTCCTCCAAGGATAATTCTCACCAAGTAAAAATAATTTCCAACAGAAAATTGTAAAAATATAACCAAAAGTGTTGTTTCCCTATATAAACTATATTAAACTTTATCCCCTCCCCAAGGGAAAACGGATAGCTCGGGGGTCCTGAAATTTACAATTTAAATAAAGCCCCTGGTGATGTTTCCATCCAAGCAGAGAAAATGACTGTAATACCCCTGAGTCTGAAGAAGAAGATTTTTGAAATATTGGTTAATTTTCCCTTTTCGGCCCCACCCTGGCCCCATCAGATGATGGTGGGCTAAAAAGTTTAGGCACGACACACAACACACGACGGACGGAAAGTGATTGGAATAGGTCACTTGAGCAAAGCTCAGGTGACCTAAACAAGAGGCCCAAGAGGGCCTGTATCGCTCACNATTAAGGCCCCCAATAACTACTATTTTTGCATTTGTTAAAATTAGCGATACAATATCACTAAATTATAACGTATGCGTACCTATGAGTTATCTGCGAGTTATCTGTGTTTCTGGAGCTAATAACAATCGGGTGTGAATTTAATGGGCAGATTTATCCAGTGATCAATACTTGGAGTAGGTCACGTCATTAATGCTGCTACATTAGAAATAGATGTGAAAAGAGAGGGGTTTGTTTCATACATTCTAGCTACTTCACTTCAACTCAGATAAACAACAGCAACAAAATCGAAAGAAATGTACTAGTGATTACCTCCGCCATACAGGGGGTAGGGTAGAGAAATACAGAGTGTAGAAGTGTAGTATATGTATGTCTCGTGGGGAGGGGGAATCTATGTAAGAATTGCGGTTCTGTATAATTAAATTGTGTCCAAGCTCATGCTTATATTAGGGAAGGCAAATTCGTCACATAATCAATGGTTTCAGTTAATAATTCGTCCGAATTTAGGGTGCAAGTAATCAAAATGCCAACGTTATAAGAAGTAGATTTTACTGAAATGTGTCTAAATAAACATTGTTGTAAACACGCTTGAATGACATCACACAACAACATTTGTGACGTCAGACATTCCGTGGTTTGCTCAAAGTTGCAGTTTTGCCACCTTGAAACATTTCACTAATATGCAAGTAATGTAAGTGTCTATATGTAAAAGTTTGTATGCTGATGTTACATAAGTCGTACTGATACGAACAGCTCCAAATGTGTGTGCGTGTAATAATTGTTAAGGTTGAAATAAATATAACTTTTCTAAGTTGTGATAGTTTATTTTAGGTAAAGAAATGCTGTTTACATAAGATCGTTCTTTTTTTTGATACAATCAACCAACAACAACAATTAACGGCAGGGTCAGAAACTGCTGTTTCATTTGTTTAAAGAACAAAAATAACGAAAAACATTTCCACGCCAGTTTGATTTGCCACTTCTATCATTCAAGCAAAACTCAGTCCACTACCGTAATAATGTATAAAATGTACGTAGTGGAATATGCATGCAGTCATTTAAGTCAATTGTTAAAATCAAACCTTATTTCAACAATATTGTTTTTTCTTTAAGTTCTATTTATATTAAGTCAACGTTACAGGTACTTTTGCCACGATTAGAAAAGTGTTGATTATACTATTTTTTGCAAAGCCTCATTGAACGTGACGGTGCACGTGGCGTCCTTTGATTCATTGAGAGATGTACTACGCTCAGGATTCTATGCGGTTCTTGATTGACCAGTCAGCGGATTCGCACATTGCTGACATATATACTATAGTCACTATCATTTGAAGAAAAGGTAGATAACTGACGTGATTACTTTCTGAATCATATTAAAGTAAACTAGCTAGTCTTGTGTGTTTTTTGTAGGTAATTGGATCCAGAAATACAGAAAAGTAGTATAGTGTGGCCTTTTATTTATATATTTTTTTATTTATTTCAACAAAAAGTACCCCTTGTTTCTTCTCCTCTGTGAGAGTATATACCACATTTTGTATGTGTAAGATTGATCGCATTAGTTGACGAGATGTCCAGACCAAATGTTTTAAATCGTCGTCATGTTACAAGCGATTTTATAACTGTTTAAATTAATAAGACTGCTTTTTTATTCTTATACCACTTCTTGTCAAAATGTTTAAAAGCTTTGACTGTGCTGATGACTACGGTAGGCTGGCGTTATTTACGTCACACAATATGACGTGATATGACACACTTTTGTCACCGGGTGGCGATTTGGGTGCATGTCGAATTTGTCTGCACTAACCTTATCTTTTAAATATAACTGAGAAAAATTGTAAACTTTTAATTGTATTATTGTTTCACAAAATCAATTACTAATTTTATATGATTGGTTTGAACATATTCTCATTCCGCCAAAGAAACATGTAGCACTAAATAAATCCATTTGATTAATATTGCGTAAGTTAAGAAAGTTCATAACTTAAGACAAAATCGTAAGTTAGGGTAGCCCCTAAGCTGTCGTATTAGTTACGATAGTTTTTTATGCGTAACTTAAGATACGAAGTTTAGTAAGACGGAGATTTAATGTAAGTTAAGGTTACGATAAAATCGTAACTTAAGTTGCTTAGTAAAACTCAGCCCTGATATCAGCCAGAGGGCCGAAGGCCCGAGAGCTGATATTAGGACTCAAGGGCTGATTGGGGTGTGATATCAAAATGATCATATCATAAACTTTTTATCATATGTTTTTTTCCTTTAAAATAAACAAAACATACACACACAAAAAAGTCTTTATTTTATTTATATCCATAAAAATGGCAACAAAAACAATGATGCATATAAACAAAACAGTAACAATTATACGTGAAAAGTCAACATTTAGAAATTCCAAAATTCCAACAAAATGATATGATTATTAAAATTTGGGTGGGGCTTTGTAAATCAATCTTTAAATTATTTTCCATGAAACCGCAGTTATTCCATGCCAACAATTCAATTGTTTACATTAAAAGTAGACAGCATTTAGCGGAAACGAGTGTGATATCAATTTTCTAGGGGGTGTGATATTACTTTTCTAGGGGGGTGATATCACTTTTCTAGGGGGGTGATATCTCTTTTCTAGGGGGTGATATCACTTTTCTAGGGGGAGTGATATCACTTTTCTAGGGGTGTGATATCACTTTTCTAGGGGTGTGATATCACTTTTCTAGGGGGTGATATCATTTTTCTAGGGGGGTGATATCACTTTCAAGGGGGGGTGATATCACTTTTCTGGGGGGTGTGACATCACTTTTCTAGGGGGGGTGATATCACTGTTCTAGGGGGGTGATATCACTTTCAAGGGGGGGTGATATCACTTTCACGGGGGGGGGATATCACTTTTCTGGGGGGTGTGACATCACTTTTCTAGGGGTGGTGATATCACTTTTCTAGGGGGAGTGATATCACTTTTCTGGGGGGTGTGACATCACTTTTCTAGGGGGGGTGATATCCCTTTTCTAGGGGGGTGATATCTCTTTTCTAGGGGGGTGATATCACTTTCAAGGGGTGGTGATATCACTTTTCTAGGGGTGTGATATCACTTTTCTAGGGGGTGTGACATCACTTTTCTAGGGGTGGTGATATCACTTTTCTAGGGGTGTGATATCACTTTTCTAGGGGGAGTGATATCACTTTTCTAGGGGGGGAGATATCACTTTCAAGGGGGGGGGGGGGATATCACTTTTTTAGGGGGGGTGATATCACTTTTCTGGGGGGTGATATCACTTTTCTGGGGGGTGATATCACTTTTCTGGGGGGTGATATCACTTTTCTGGGGGGGTGATATCACTTTCAAGGGGGGGTGATATCACTTTTCTAGGGGGGGTGATATCACTTTCAAGGGGGGGTGATATCACTTTTCTAGGGGGTGATATCACTTTTCTAGGGGGTGTGATATCACTTTTCTAGGGGGGGGGGGTGATATCACCCGGGCTGATATCAACTTGTGGAAATTTTAGACTTATTACACATACAAAAAGGGTGTTATTATTAGTAAACATATGGCAATACCGTATATAACATACACATATAAAAATCTTTGGCGCTCATACACATATTACATAAAAGGTTTTGAACGTGTACATACACCTTATTCATATTAATCCAATACATACATATTTATCTTGACAAAAAGGTTTCACTAAATCACATTTCTATGATTATTTGATGTCCTTAATATCTCTTGAGGTAATTTTGATAGTAGAATCACTGATGTGATTTTAATTGTTGAATCTCTGATGTGATTTTTATAGTAGAATCTCTGATGTGTTTTTTATAGTAGAATCTCTGATGTGATTTTGATTGTAGAATCTCTGATGTGTTTTTTATAGTAGAATCTCTGATGTGTTTTTTATAGTAAAATCTCTGATGTGATTTTGATTGTAGAATCTCTGATGTGTTTTTTATAGTAGAATCTCTGATGTGATTTTAAAATAATCTTGTGATAAACAGTATGTCAGAATACTGAGGTGATAAACAGTATGTCAGAATATTCAGGTGATAAACAGTATGTCAGAATACTGCGGTGATGAACAGTATCTCAGAATAATCAGGTGATCAACAGTATGTCAGAATACTCAGGTGATCAACAGTTTGTCAGAATTCTCAGGTGATCAACAGTATGTCAGAATTCTCAAGTGATCAACAGTATGTCAGAATAATCAGGTGATGAACAGTATCTCAGAATACTCAGGTGATAAACAGTATGTCAGACTAATCTTGTGATAAACGGTATGTCAGAATACTCAGGTGATAAATGGTATGTCAGAATAATCTTGTGATAAACAGTATGTCAGAATACTGAGGTGATAAATAGTATGTCAGAATAGTGAGGTGATAAATAGTTTGTCAGAATAGTGAGTTGATCAACAGTATGTCAGAATACTCAGGTGATTAACAGTATGTCAGAATAATCTTGTGATAAACAGCATGTCAGAATATTCAGGTGTAAAGCAGTATGTCAGAATATTGAGTTGATCAACAGTATGTCAGAATATTCAGGGGATAAACAGCATGTCATAACATTCAGGTGATGAACAGTATGTCAGAATATTCAGGTGATAACCAGTATGTCCAATAACTCCGCTCATAAATAGTATGTCAGAATATTCAGGTGATGAAAAGTATGTCAGAATAATCAGATGATAAACGGTATATCGGATATTCAGGTGATAAACAGTATGTCAGCATATTCAGGTGATAAACAGTATGTCAGAATATTCAGGTGATGAACAGTATGTCAGAATAATCTTGTGATAAATGGTAAGTCAGAATATTCAGGTGTTAAACAGTATGTCAGAATATTTAGTTGATCAACAGTATGTCAGAATATTCAGGTGATTAACAGTATGTCAGAATAATCATGTGATAAACGGTATGTCAGAATATTCAGGTGTTAAACAGTATGTCAGAATATTTAGTTGATCAACAGTAAGTCAGAATATTTAGTTGATCAACAGTATGTCAGAATATTTAGTTGATCAACAGAATGTTAGAATATTCAGGTGATAACCAGTTTGTCAGAATATTCAGGTGATAAACAGTATGTCCAAATACTCAGCTCATAAACAGTATGTCAGAATATTCAGGTGATGAACAGTATGTCAGAATAATGAGGTGATAAACGCTTTGTCAGAATAATCAGGTGATAAACGGTATGTCGGATATTCAGGTGATAAACAGTCTGTCAGCATATTCAGGTGATAAACAATATGTCAGATAACGGTAAGTCAGAATATTCAGGTGTTAAACGGTATGTCAGAATATTAAGTTGATCAACAGTATGTCAGAATATTCAGGTGATTAACAATTATTTCAGAATAATCTTGTGATAAT